CACCCCCCATCTTACTCCATCTCGTTTGTAACCCCACAGCAAACTTCGAGCACCTTAGTTCAGGAATAAAGTCACCGACCGACTCAAATTGGACGTAGGACACGTTGCCTGAACCAGTATAAATCCTATGTCATTGAATGCTAGGCCACATCCGATCACAACGTAAGGCAAGACTATAAATATTTACGTGTTTATCACTTTCTGCACTGACAGCAAGGATGAAAAATGAATTATGATTAGGGTCCGGGGGCGAGGCAATATATATATACCTCTCAAACGGGCAAATCTGACGGTCAGATGGAGCAGGGGAGGAGGATCCGACGGCTCTGAGGGGAGGAACCGTGCCAGCCTGTTTAGGCCTGCCGTGCCTAGGCCGGCACTGCGGGCCGACTTAGCGGCCTAGGCACGACACTACGGCCGGCCTATGCCTGGCACGGGCACGATGCTAGCCGGGCCATGCAGGGCCGGGCCTGGACCGTGCTTTTTCTGTGCCGTTCCTGGGCCGGCCCATCGTGTTAGTGCCAAATGGCCAACTATATACAATATTCTTGAGTGATGACGCTTATTATTTATGGGGCCCAAAGATTTTTTTGAGCACCACTCCACGCCGTGGAGGGCCTGAGATAGGGAGTTGTCAGGAGTGAGTTCTCTCTCCAGATGTTCTAATGCCATGTTTAGTTCCTCCCTATAAAATTTACTCCCTATCCTATCGAATATTTAGATATATGTACGGAGTATTAAATATAGACTAAAAAATAACTAATTGCACAGTTTGCGACTAATTTACGATCTTTTAAGCCTAATTAGTCCATGATTTGACAATATGGTGCTATAGTAACACATGTGGTAATGATGGATTAATTAGGCTTAATAAATTCGCCTCATGGATTACTGTGTAATTTTTTTTATTAGTATCAAATACCCCTAAACGACACTCCATGTAATACCCAATATAACACCCCAAAACTTTACACCTATATTTAAATGAGACCTGACTCAACCACTTGATTTGTAAACCCACCTTCACACACCCATAACAATCTCACACAACAACACTGCCCGAAAAATCCATCCGGTTCAGAGATCGATCAAATGGGGCCAGGCCCGATTACTCTTCGTGGTAGAGCCTCGTGTGGACAGGATTCTGGCTGCGGTCTTGGCTCGACCGGCACACGGTGAGACGCGCCTGTGGGGATGCCTTCCGCATCGCCGACGCCTGCCTTTGGATGACCTCCAGGTGCTCATCTCCGGGACTCGGAGCTCCTCCCTCTTCTCCCACCATGACCAACACCAGGTGCTCAAGGGCAGGGGGCCTCTTCAGGAAGAAGGCGAGCAGCTGCAGCTCGAACCTCGTCCCTCTGAAATTCACCAGCTTGATGAAGCTGAGGCTGTCAAGCACAAATTCGTTGTCGATCTCGCGTTCGGAGTCGTCGACGACCTCGCCGGCCAGTGCTGCCGCCGCGTCGGCATCGCTTGCATCTGTAACATGGCCGGGGAACTGGGGATTTCAGAAAGTAATTAACTTGCTGTGAGTGTGAGCCGATTCGGAAATATCTCCTTGCAAATTTCATGGACGTGGAATCGTGGATATTGGAGGATGAGATGAGGCAGAGAGCTTTACGCGGACAAACAAGCGGTCCAAGAGTGGAAGCTCGTTCTCCTGGAAGAAACCGGTGAAGACCTCGAGGTCGTCATCATAATCATCTTCGGAGGCTATCAGCAGTTGCAGCTCCTGTATGTTCGTCGTATCGAACCGCAACATCAAATTGCAGCCGTCGCAGGAAAGCGTCCAAACCGGGGCATGCTCGACGTCGCTCAGCAAGGAGTCATAGTAGGTCTCATCAGAGTCGTGGGCGAAGCCTATTTGAGAAAGGTACACGTCCCGCAGAGCCGGCATGTCGTCGTCGAAGTCGAAGACGACGTCGTCGGCGTCCTCCCAGAAGAACTCGTCGTCGTGGAAGGCGATCGACTCAAGCGCGGGCTTGGTGACCCGGACCTGATTCACGGCTACGCATCCTACGATCTCCAGGACCCGCAGCGTCTCGCTGGCGATCCTAATCGATTCGCACTCTCTCCAGGACCCGGAGCTACTCAACCTGAGGTGCTCCAGCGCCCGGCAGCTGGACACGACGTCGCGAACCGCCTCGCCTGCGAAGTCGACGTGGCTGAGGGAGAGCGAGCGGAGACCAGCGAGCCCGGCCGGAGCGGCCGGGATGGCGCCGAGCCTGAACCCGACGAGCGCGAGGCGCGCCAGAGAGTTCCGGGCCACGAACAGGTCGCCAGGCAGCTCCACGAACTCCGCGCTTCCGTCGTCGGCGTCCGGAACCTGGCCCCTGTATGTCGGTGTCGGTGTCGGTATCAGGTACACCTCGACCTCCCTGGCGCCCCTCGCCACGGCGGACGCAATCCAGCAGACCACATCGCGCCCGAACACGCCGTCGCTCGACCCTGGCGGCAACATGAGCGCCACGCGGAACACGTCAAGTGGCGCGCCGTGCTCGGCGTGGACCTTAAGGCAGCGACGCATCGTGGCCGCCGCGGCCCGGGCAGGTAGCTGGCCACGGGCCAAGTCTCGGTCAGTGAAGTCGAGGACCCCGAGTTTCTTGTTTGAGACTACTGGCCCCGTTCGCTGGTCCGAACTTTGACTGAAATTGGTTGAAAAATACTGTTCCGGTTAAATTGTTGTGAGAGAAAAACACTGTTTCGACTAAAAAAACAAGTTGAACAAGCCAAACTTTAAGACAAACTAACGGGGCCAGTCCGTGCAATTTGGGCAAAAAGCTCGAGCAGAAACACACAACTTGAGAGACTGACTCCAAATCTCCAATGCATCCCATTCCCATGAGGCTTCTCTGACAAGACTGCAAGAGAATCCACGCTTTATCGTCATGTTCGTTTGAGCATGTTTGGCTGATAAGCCATGACTTAAAGTACTGTTGGTTGATTTGGTATGAGAGAAAAATACCGTTTGTTGGCTAAAAAAGTATGGCTTATAAAGCAAACAAGCCTAAACAAACATGGCATATATTGGTGAGTGTCGTTGGGCGTTGGCGCTTGTTTGCGAGAGATTATTATTATTATTATTATTATTATTATTATTATTATTATTATTATTATTATTATTATTATTATTATTATTATTATTATTATTATTATTATTATTATTTTCACCTTCTCTCAAAACAAATTCTAAATCTGACATCGTTATTTTTTTATTTTCAAATCTAACCCGTTTGGCCGTGCCTAAGTCCCTAGCACGGCCAAACACAGTACCGCGCCACATGCATCGACGCGACAGATCTACCATGGTGGATAACGATTTCCACGTGGAAAATCTTGTCGCGCCACTCCTGTTTACGCGACAGCACTGCACCAATCAAACTGACGCGCTAAGGCGTAACCTTAGAAAAATTATATCTTTTTAATACAATCTTGGATGAAGATGATCTTTATATTAAAGTTGTAGCTCTTGACAAGATCTACAATTTTTTAGTTTTGAGTTTTTCATTTGAGATTGTTAAGATGCTCAAAAAAATTAAACAAAATTTCAGCAGTCACGTACAAGCTCTTGTCACGTTGGAAAAAATAATATCTTTCTTATATGATATCAAATAAAGATACTTTATGTGTGAAAGTTGTAGCTCTCGATGAGATCTACATTATAGTTTTAGATTTTTGAATTTTAGATCAAAAAGATGCTCAAAAAAATAATATAAAGTTTTAGCCTTCGTATTAATCACGTACAAGCTCTTATCGTCTTGGAAAAATCTTATCTTTTTTGTACGGTGCCAAATGAAGATATTTTTTACATAAAAATTGTTGCTCTTGATGAGATCTACAACTTCATAGTTTTAAGTTTTTTCATTTGAGGTCGTTATCTCGATGAGATCTACAACGTTGTACGGTGCCAAAATTGCAAATTGTGTCTATAGAAATTTCAATGAACTAAAACTATAATTTTAATATAAAATATATGTAATAACCGTCGCCTAAAAGAAAGCTAAAATTTAGGCACATAAAATTTAACAAATCCCTTATATTTTATACTAAAAAAGTCAAACTTATATATAAACTGCAGTGTGATGATGTGATTTGACTGACAAATGACAATATAATATTATAAGAAGTTAGCGGTTAAAATCTATTAGGCCCCGTCATTATCCTTAGAATTGAATTTGTTTTAATAATAATAATTTAGACACATATTAATTAAGCTAATATGATTATATATAAATTATATTATATTTGTATATTATTGTTGGTTATACTAGAGAGATACTTATATATTGTATTTCTATCTAGGAGAGCTAGTTAAAGAACATGTTATAAGTTGCAAAGTAGAAATATAATATGATGATCTATAGGCCCCGTTCGGCTTGTTGAAACTGAAAGTTGCTGAAAACATTGTTCTGGCTGAAAATGTTGTGAGAGAAAAACACTGTTTCGGCTGAAAAAAGAAGCTGAACAAACCGGATATAAGGTAAGCTGAACGGGACCATAGAATCAATTTCTATCTCACAAACTATGAATTTGATATAGACTTATACATAAACTTTGAAAAATAGTGAAATATCAAATTTCAAGTTAAATAGTCTAATTTATTTAGTAGATTTTAATTTCTCTAAATGAAGTATCCAAACTGCCCCTTATATTTACCCTCTCTATTATTATTCAATTTCATTTCACCCTAGCTAATTTTTTATTATGTACTAATTGTTAACCGGCTTGGATCAGTAGTCTGAACCCTATGTTTGACCGGTTGCGTAGCACGCCTCCTTGTCTCGCGAGCAGGCGCGCCAACGACACTCCAACATGGTGATGCGTCTCAGGGCGTTGTCACTCACTCAAGTTTGTGTGCTTCTGCTCTGTCTTTTGCCCAATCTTGCGATGTAAGCTGCTAGTACTACTACCCTGCCGAGTAGTATAAAAGATTTTGTGAAAGCACCCATGTCTGACTCTGAACCAAAGCGATCCCGCACTCGCGTCGCACCCCGCTTGACATGGAAATGCAATCGCGCCACCGGAGCAAGCGTGGAGCCATCGAGGTACATGAACAGGAGGGGGAGGACCGGCTGAGCCGGCTCCCCGACGACATCCTCCACTCCATCCTCCGCCGCCTCCCGCTCAAGCACGCCGCGCGCACCAGCGCCCTCTCGCGGCGCTGGGCGCGCACGTGGCTCCGCGCGCTCGCCTCCTCCCGTGTCCTCGACTTCACCGACCGCGACTTCGCACGCGGCCAGGCGTCGGCGCGGGCCGCCGCGGCCACGGTGAGCTGCTGCCTCCGGCTCCACGCCGAGCACGGTGCGCCGCTCGACGTGTTCCGCGTGGCGCTTACATCGCCGGCGCCGGGCAGCGCCAGCGCGTTCGAGTGGGACGTCGTTGGGTGGGTCGCGTCCGGCGTGGCGAGGGGCGCCAGGGAGGTGGAGGTGTATCTGACGCCGCCGCCGACAAAAGGGGACGCCGATGACGGAATCGCGGCGTTCGTGGAGCTGCCTGGCTACCTGTTCGTGGCCACGAACTCGCTGGCGCGCCTCGCTCTCGGCGGGTTCAGCCTCCGCGCCGTCCCGGCCGCCCTGACCGGACTCGCAGGTCTCCGCTCCCTCTCCCTCAGCCACGCCGACGTCACAGGCGAGGCGGTTCGCGGCGTCGTGTCCAGTTGCCGCGCGCTGGAGCTCCTCAGCCTGAGCAGCTACAGCCTCCTGAAATCGATTAGGATCGCCAGCGAGACGCTGCGGGTCCTCGAGATCGTGCGCTGCCCAGCCGTGCGGGTCAACGCGCCAGCGCTCGAGTCGTTCGCGTTCCACGGCGACACAGTCTACTCGAGCGACTACGACGACCTCTTCTGCCGTCGACCTGGGCTCCACGCCGGCTCTGCGGGACGCGTACCTTTCTGCTTTCTCACATCAGCTTCGACGACGACGTGAACGCGTACCAGGATCGCGAGTACGCCTACTCCAACTTCTTGAGCTGCGTCGCTCATGCCCGGGCTCTGACGCTCTGTTCCGTGGGCTTGCTGGTATGAAATTTAAATTGTGGAAATGCCATGAAATTTACTGACCACTAATTTTACTCCAAAATCAGCATTTGTGGGCACAGCTAGGTTACGATGAGTGCGTGGACATTGATATGACGAACATACCAGAGCTGCAGCTGCTGCTGTCCTCGGAAGGTGAAGATGACGACCTCTATAGCTTCGCCTCTTTCTTCCAGATCAACCCGCTTCCACTCCTGGACCGCTTGTTCGTCAACGTAAAGCTCTGCCTTTTGCTGCCCATCCTCCAACTTCCACGTGCAACGGTGCAAGCAAATACAGTACTATTTCTGAACGGGACATTACTTTCTGAAACCCGCAGCTCCCCAGCCACACTACCGATGCAAGCGACGCGGCGGCAGCACTGGCCGGCGAGGTCGTCGACGACTCAAGAATGATGATTCAACACTTCGACTTCGTCCTTGACCACCTGAGCTTCATCAAGCTGGTGAATTTCAGAGGGACCAGGTTCGAGCTGCAGCTGCTCGCCTTCCTCCTGAGTTCGGCCCCTGCCCTTGAGCAGCTGGTGCTGGTCACGGTGGGAGAAGAGGGCGGAGCTCTGGGAGACGAGCACGTCATCCGAGGCTGGGTGTCGGAGATGCCGAAGGCATCGCCAGAGGCTCAGCTCACCGTGTGCCGGTCGAGCGAAGATCGCAGCCAGAATCCTGTGCACACGAGGTTCTACCACGAACTCGAAGAGTAATCGGGCGCCATTTGATCTCTCAACATCTACACGAGGTGTCCACAATGTCATGCTGTACTTGTAACTACAGCACTATAGCAGCTGCTAGGATTCTGCTTTCAGCTCAGCACACAGGAACAACCCAACATACATAGCCTCAGATACCAAAAACAAAATGCAACAGGCTGCTCCCATGTATCGTATCATCCGATCCGGCAAACAACACATGACACTCCAGCAAAAACATTCTGCATGGATAAAATTGAAACCAGAAATGCATGAAGAAACTTGAACGTGAATTTCCAGCACAGCTCCTCAGCTACTGATAGTTCAAGGGAAATTGATCTCTTGCCAAGGTGACACTACTACAGTACTACTCCACGATCTTAACCTTCTTCCTCTTCTTCTGTGATTTTTCTGATGGCGATTGTGGCATCTCTGAGGCCAAGTTGCTCCCCTCGCCTCCAGCCTGAGATCCTTGCGAGGCCTTGCCTGATACATTTGAGTGCCCCAGGCTGCTTTCATCCTTTCTCTTCCCCATGTGTTTGGGTGTCGGCTCTGCGCTCCTTTGGCCCAGTGAAATCGCCGAACCTTGGCTACTGCGGTTCTTTGATGCACTAGTGAACCGAGACATGATCTTCTTAGAACCTGTGAAAGTGGGAACACGGGCAACCACAGTTCAACAAAGATGTCCCTTATAAAAAGAAAAGAAAAGAAAAGAAAAGAAGAAGAATGGCATGCAAGAGAACTGGCTGCATTTCTTTTGACTGATGTAAGTTACAGGAAGGAGGCATCGGTTATCAGTAAACTCAAATGGATAAGAGTATATCATCAAAATATTGTACGCCAGAAAAGGTTACTAAATTTTATGGACATTTTTGGCCAATGTCCATACTCCTTAACTTCTTATAGTGTATCTACTTTTCTAAGGATAAAAGAGCAGTTTTTTTCTAACTAGCACTGAAAACATAAATCAAGAAGGTAGTATGCCTAACGGTTTCCAACAGAGATGATAATACAGTTGGACCAGACTTGTCTTTTTCCTTTGTTGATCAGTTATGATAATAAGAAATTCAACAGAAAACCAAGCGGTAACAAGATTAAACTGCCAGCCATGAAATACCCCAAGTTCAACCAGTAATCTGCAACGCAATATCCTGCCTAACTTGGCTAGCAGTAGAAAAGTGCGATCAGCGAAGAAAACATATGTTAATAAAGAATTACCTGTAGATTTCTTACTGCTAGGAGTAAGACTCCCAAAACTTGGTTTAGCCAATTCCTCAGGTTTAGGATAATGAACTAAGGAGACTCGCCATGAAATCTTCCCACTGTATTCCATTTGTTTGTCAGTGTGAAAAATATTTGCATAAAAAAGAGCATACAACATGAATAACAGGTTAGAAAAGCCAAAATAGTGCCTCTAACACAAAGAGGTGATGGGCATTTTCCTCTAGTATTGCCAAAACCATTATAAGCAGAGTATGTTTATCTTTAGCTCTGTTTTCTTTATGGGCTTCATTAGAAAAAATATTACACATAATAATTATATTTACTACAGATGTCACACACCAACTTAAGAAAGAGAATATTGATTTACACTAATTTCCATGTTTTACATGATCAAATGATAGCAGTGGCAGATCCAGAATTCAAAAACAATGGGCCCAAGTTAGTTGATTTTAAGTCAATTAATGCAAGAATTACACAATTAACATATATATAAATTGCAGGTTTTATGAAGGAGGTTAAATGTATTTTGGCAAAACATGTGGGGCCAGGTGGCCCCACAGGTTATACATAGATCTGCCACTTATAGCTTCCATGCCAGTTGTTTTCATGATCGGGTCGAACTATATGCCATGTGGAATAGCACTGATTCATCAGAATTACAACAATAAAGGCTGACATATTCTCATAAGTTGGCAGGCATATGATCCAACTTCCACACTTCGACTGTTATATTCAACAACATATCCCAAGATATTACTGAGTCTCAGTTGCTATCCTTCAATAAACAAAGAACTATAAGTGTGCCTTATCTCCAAGTAGACACTTTGAGATAATAATCTTTCAAAGATGGGAATCATGTCCTGCTTCTCCCCTTCCTATTTCAGTATGTTCCTTAAAGATCAAAACCACCCAAACTAGTGCACTACCATGGTAACACAGCGGGAAAAAAATATTTCCAAAACTCAATATGACTTTACATAGAATATTTTTTTATTGTAGCAGAAGGGCCATTATATTAACAATATACAAGAAACAGTATTTGATGCTTCAGCCAATGGCAAGAAACAAACATCGAGAGCAAGCCATCAAATGCAGTGCCCATATGGCTTGTAAAACTAACCCAAGAAACAAAAAATGAAGATACGCAGCACTATTTTAATAACATTTTTATCTAATGGAAGAGGCAAAAGCATCTGTGAAAATATCACATAATTAAAGGAATTAGTTGGTATTTCATCATACCAGGTTTTGTTTCTGACCCTGAAGGCAGGAAGACAGTTGCATCTGGTTTCTGAGCTGCAAAGCTCACAAGCTCATAAGATTTCCCTGGCAAAATAAGTGCATTAGCAGCAGCTGATACTTCTCTGTGAAAAAATTTCAATAGTTATTTGACACAACAATTGGACAATGATGTTTTCCACATGACAACTGACTGCAGTAACACTACTTACTAATGGGGTGCTATGAGACATAAGTCCATGATAAAGATGACAAGGAAATTTCATTTCACTGATCAAACTTTTAAATTTCGATGATGAGCACCGCCTTATTTACATAAAAGACTGTAAGTCGTACCCTCTTGATTTCAATTTAATAGTTCATCACGTAATGACATAAGGATTATACAAGGAAATTGGTAGAAGAATAGTTTAACTACAAACTAAAACTCCAGCTCCAGCTGTTTAGGACTTTAGGTTTAGGTTATGAAACACTAATGAATATACAAAAAAGAGATCGAGACACAATCTTTGCCATGGAAATGCAATCAGTTGCATTGATGTCTCTAGTATAGGATATAGATGATGTTTGGGGAAACCAATCTTGCCAAAGTTGTGGTGAACGATATCCAGAACATAGTATGAGTAACCAGAAAGCTTAAATGCAACTAAACCATGTAATCAACTCAAAGAAACTTCAAAACAGTCCATATCAGCTAAGAGCATCTCCAAGAGTACCCAATATTTTCTTTCCAAAAACATGGAGTTTTATAACTCCTAAAAAAGTATTGGAAGAAATAAAGAAGGCCATCTCCAAGAGTTTCTAATAATTCACTCCTAAAATATAGAAGACAATTTTACATCATGAATCATATACTATTTCTAAATTATCCTAACCACTTTTATATATTCTTTCTCTCTTGTACATTTGCATCAGGAACCCTTTCCTACTCTTTATTCTTTCCACGCCCTTCCATCTTTAGATTGGCCAACAAACACACGCGGGGAGAGAAGATACGCGCGACTCGGAAGCGCGTAACTTTACGCGGAATAAGGTGACTTTTCTCAAGTTCTAAAAGATTAGGAGCATGGATTAGGAGTTGTTGGAAAGGGTTTTTTTCTCATCTTGCTAAAAACAAGGATTAGGAAAGAATTTAGGAAACTCTCGGAGATGCTCTAAGTTACCTGAGGAACTTTCCAAGCTGCCCAAGTTTCCATCACTATGCAGCTTGAGAGAAAGCTCTTTGCCATGTGTCGGTGCAGAAAGTGACCAACACGTAAATTTTTGTAGTTTTGCTGTACATTGTGATCGGAGATGGACTATCACTCAATGACACAGGGTTTATACTGGTTCAGGCAACATGCCCTACGTCCAGTTTGAGTCGGTCGGTGACTTTATTCCTGAGCCTAGGTGCTCGAAGTTTGCAGTGGGGTTACAAACGAGAAGGAGAAAGATGGGGGGAATGAGAGGTCCGGTCGAACTCTGGTCAGAGGGGCCGAGAGTGACGGGAGCTCCGCTATGTGCTAAGTGAACTTGATCGATCTGAATGAATCTGAATAAACTTATCTTTGTTGGAGAGAGCGCATCCCCTTTTATAGATGAAGGGGATGGCCTTACAAGTGAGAGGGAGAGAGTGTGTGTGCTACTAAGCCTTGTTGCCCACACCGTGAGTACAAGATGATGGTAGGCGCCCACAATACTGTTGAATGTCAGATGCACGTGGGAGGTTTGTGTTGTCTTCTTCGGGTATGGCAGACGTCGGCGCCTGCCACACTATTGATACCTGGAGGCATGCAAGGGGTTTTACCATGTTCGCCTGGTACGGTAAATGCCGGCGCCCACAACACTGTCGATGCCCAGAGGCATGTGGGGGGAGTCTTACCGTATTAGTCTGGTATGGGAGTTGATAGCGCGCCACAACACTGTAGGGGAAAATGTCGGCGCCTACAACACTGCTTCGGTTCTGCCATGCCAGGCAGGTCGCAGGGTATTGTCTGGCAGATGCACAGGGTACGGTCCCTGGTATTGCGGTTTGACTTGTGTACCCTGCCTTATTTTCTCTGTCCGTTTCCTGGTTCTTACCGAGCGGGTGTCCCCGGTTGGTTGGTCCTAGTTGGCTCTGATTGCGCCAGTCGAAGAGGAGCTGTAAGCAGGGGTTCGGCGCATTCCCGGTCGGAAAAGCGGATCGGAGTCGGAAGCGGCGTTTTGGCTAGGCCTTCCGGTCGGAGAGGCCATCCGAAGGCGGGCTGAAGACCGAAGCGAGTGCTCCGGTCGGAGAGGCGGGCCGGAGTCAAAAGCGAACGCTGTCCCTCCACGGCCAGGCCTTCCGATCGGTGATTGGATCGCCCTTCTGGCCTGTTGTTTAGGTTTTTGGGCCGGTCCATGAGTTGCGCGTTTGCTCGCAATGTTGTCTGTTGGGTCAAGCCTTTGTTGGGAAGCCGGTCCATGAGGGACCCCGGATTTATGAACCCGACAGAAACCCCCAAGCCCCCGGGTGATTCGGGTAGAATTATCTGGGGGATTCGGTCAGAATCCTCTGGGGGGTTTCGTGTTGCTAGTGGGGTAGGTTTTGTTTCGTCAGCGGGTGCGCACGAGCGCACCCACGGGTGTAGCCCCCGAGCCCCCGGGCGATTCGAGCAGGATCGCCTGGGGGGTTTTGTCAGCGCGCGTGTGTGCGTGAATGTTAGTCGAGATAGAGTCATCCACCAAGGCATCGTTGCGCAGCTGAGGCGGTTTGGTTTTAGGGTTTGGACGAGACGAGCTCGCGGATCCTGGCGTCGGTGCACGTAGTGGGATTGGACGAGGCAGTTAGTATAGGGATCGGACCAGACAGAGCTCACGGATCCTGGCGTCGGTGCGCGCTGTGGGATCGGGTGAGTTAGAGTCGTGCATGCTGATGGGGCGAGTTCGGGGTCATAGACCCAGGCATTTTGGTGTGCAGTCGAGGCGTAGCCGAGGGATGGGGTGAGTTTAGGGTCGCAGACCCGTGCGTTTGGTGTGCAGCCGAGGGATGGGGCGAGTTCGGGGTCGTAGACCCAGGCGTTGGTGTGTCATGAACCCCCGAGCCCTGTTGGGCTTGGTAGGGGTCGATTTTGAGTTTTGTGCGTTACCCCGTCCTCGGTTTCTCACAACCGGAGGGGCTGAGCTTTGTCACTTGCCTTGATCGCTCGGGCTCGAGTGATGTGCTCGGTGAGCTCGCTAACGGGTATGATCGAGTGGAATCTAGGTCTGTCGTTCGTGATGGGGTCGGCATAACCATCTTGTGACATTCCACTGCTCCTTTACCTGCAACCCAGCAGATGCCTGGGTCGTTCTGGAGACAGACCCATGTGGCCCGCTGGCCTCCCCTTTGATGGAGATTCTGTAGGTTTGGCAGAGGTTTAGGATCGAACGAGAAGGTTGAGATGACCCTGTCCGCTTTAGGGCAGACTAGGCGAGGGCGGCACGGGGCTCATCTATGTTTTCTCCTCTAACTCTGTTTGACGTGAGGCGGCCTCGGGCCCTTTGTGGGCCGGACTTTGAACCCCGGTTGGTCGTTGATCATGTCGAATGAGGCAACTGCTGCTTCATGACGCAACACGGTGCGTTGTGATGCGTTTAGCCGCATGTGCGATGCCTTTAGTTCCCGAGCCCCCGGGTGATTCAGGGCCCGAATCGTCCGGGGGGCACGGGCGTATGGAATGAATGCGTGTATGAATGCATGAATGATTATATAAAGAAATAGCGGGGGTCGATAGTGTTACCTTGGTGACTCGAGCGACGGGGTCTGAAGAGCTCCAATCGGAAATGTCCGACCGGGACCCGTGCTCGTCATTCGTGATGGAGTTGGCATGGCCAACATGGGGCATCCCTTTACTCCGTACCTATCTCTCGGTGTTTTCCTAAGCTGTT